GTGTGTGTTAGTGTGTGTGTGTGTGTGCGTGTGTGTGCCCTCGAGGCTGCTGAGCTGTGATTGTGTATTTGTCAGTGTCAAATACATCGATCAGAGCAGCTCAATACAAATCTTTAATTTTTTATTTCACCATACTTTTCATCTCTATGTGTGTGTGTGTGTGTGTGTGTGTGTGTGTGTCTGTGTGTGTGTGACCTTTTTAAAGGGCACAAAGCAGCAACACACACGTGAATAATGTTCATCACAAACTGCAGCTTTTTAAAACGACTCGTCAGCTGATGAACCAGGAAGCTTAAAGGTGTGGGGCTAGCTGGTTAGCATGCTAACTTCAGCAGAAGCCAAGTATTAGTTTCTTCTCAGCGTCAGAGACTTGTCGGAGTGTGTGAGCCACAGACGCTATCGTGTTAGCAAGCTAGCACGTGTGTAACGCAGCGCAGGAAGAAGCTGTTTTAATGACGGAGGGAGAAAATGAGGCCGTTTGGAAGATCAACGTTTTCCTCTTGTTGGAAAAATTCTATTTTACTAAAATGACAAAAACATTTACTTTTATATTTTACATTTTCACCTCATTCATGAAACTTAAGCAATAAACATTCCGGCCTCTAGGGGGCGGGCACTTCAGACGGTTTATTATTCGTCAGGTTTACACACACAAGGGATTTGATTTGAGTGTTTGTACATAAGTATAAATGTCGAAACAGTAGAAGTAATGTTACGAAAGTTCAGGTGAGGACATTTACGCAGCGCAGCGGTTCTCTCCGTCTGTCCTCAGTGTCCCTGCACCTTTCCATCACTGTCCCCCTCCCTCCGTTCTTTCTGTCCCTGTTGTCCTAATAGCTTATTGACAGCCAATCAGCTGTGGCCTCAGGCGAAGCCACTCACCAATCGCCAAGTAGGACAAGGTCATCCCATCCGGACGCAATGATCGACACGCATCCAGTTCAGGGACATGTAACACATGACATGTTACATGACAACAGCAGAGTTAACCATTAATAATAACTACAATATTCATAACTATTGATAAACAACATATCTTGAATTAATATAACAAACTTTTTATTTAAACTATAAAAACACAGTTCTTTATTTTGTAAATTCAGTTTTTTATTCATTTTAAACCCAGATGCAGTTTTTCTTTAAGGAAATCAAACCTTAAAGCTCAGTGATGATGACGACACGCTCTGGTTATGTAACAGAAGTGGAAAGATGTGATTTAGTCGAGCTGTTCTTCTCACTGTCCTGCTCTGACACACTCGGATAATACGAACTGACGTCCTCCTCCTCCTCTGTCTCCGTCTCTCCTGCTGCTGAGGGAAGACGGGATGAACAGAGAGAGACTAGAGTCTGACTCAGACCTTTCTTCTTCTTCTTCTCAAGTAACTGAATGACAACGATGTGCATAAGCCCCCCCCATCCAATCAACACACACACACACACACACACACACACACACACAC